CCCTGTAAGGGTTTAGGGCTTCTAGGGCTTCTAGGGCTTCTAGGGCTTTAGGGCTTTAGGGTTTAGGCTTTGGGGGTTTAGGGCCGTTTAGGGCTTAGGGGTTTAGGGTTTAGGGCTTTAGGGTTTAGGTTTAGGGTTTAGCGTTTAGGGCTTCAGGGTTTTAGGGTTTAAGGTTTAGGAGTTTGAAGTTTAGGGTTTAGAGCCTCAGGGTTTAGAGCTTTAGGGTTTAGGGTTTAGAGTTTTAGGAGTTTAGGGTTTAGGGTGTAGGGCTTTAGGGTTTAGGGCTTTAGGGTTTGGGTTTAGGGTTTCAGGGTTTGGGGGTTTAGGGCTTAGGAGTTTAGGGTTTAGGGGTTTAGGGGTTTAGGGTTTAGGGGTCCAAAGGACCCAATAATGAGGTACTTCGGTTGCAGCGTAGTTATGCAGCAGTTAATATTTGCGAGAGTATATGATTACTAGGCACTTGGACCCTTAGGGTAAAGGCTTTCCGGATGAACCATAACTCAACTGCAGAGGGACTAGAACGGAATAGCGGTGTCGGCTCAACCCTAAACCCTAAACCCTAAACCCTAAACCCTAAACCCCTAAACCCCTAAACCCTATCATATAGGGGCCTCAGGGCCCATTGTTTTTACTATAGTTATAATAAGGAGCCCCCAAGGCCCAAAGTAAGGGTCTTTCCTAATTATGAAGGCCCCTATACTAATGTCTGAGCTAACATAAAGGCCTTAATAAGCAGAATAGAGTTTTGGGACCTCACATACTGTAACTAGAATGAGGAATCCCCAAAATGATATTGGCGATTACCAAGGCCCCCATATTAATCTGAAGCACTTTGTGACGCTGTGCGGTATCGGCCTCTCGCACTCGCTGTGCAGGACTGCACGATGCGATGGACGGCCTAAGCTTTCTGCGTCACAGTATGGGGCTTTCCGAAATTAGGGGTACCTTATTTTGGGGTCCTTATAATAATAAGGATCCTATTGTTTAGGGTACTATATTAGGGTCCCCTATTTTCGGAAACCCACATATCTAGAGTGGCCAAGGCAGTAGAAAAAATACTCAAAGCAGGAAACTTGGGGACTTGGACATGTAGGGGGCTTGTAGTTTTGGGGCCCTGAAAAGTATTTATAACTAGGTACCTCTATAGGAACCATAAAGGAAATTTTTAAAGTTTCCCAACGTGCCACCTAGTTTAGGGGTTCTGAGGCTTCCAAGCCGAAGCATTTCTGCAAGGCCGAAGAGCAGGTTGCAGAAGTTCGAGCGCTGCTGCCTGCGCGCAGACACTTCTCGGAGAACTGACCCTTAGCATCAAAATAGCCCAAACGCCTTGTGTCATAGGGTCTTTGGGCCCAAAAGCCTTAAAACATGAATACTTTGAGGGTAAAGGTTTGGGTTCACAGTAGAAGCCCCTAATGTTTTTAAAAGTAGGGGGAATATACAGGCATAGATTGAATCCCAATATGGCATTTGAACCCAAGCCCTTTAGGGTTCATGTCGTCTTCAATGCAAGGTAAACCCTAAACCTCATCATCCGAGGCCAGAAAGGTAGAACATCATTGTCCTGATGACCCTAAGGTAACGCACAGGGAACCCCAGCACTCATCCTCCTGAGTTCATGTTCCAATCTGCTGGGGTTCATTGTGAGATTTAGGTATATGCTAGCCCTAAACCCGAAACCCTTATATAAATGGCACAAAGATCCTTGATAAAGCATGCTGGAAAGTATGTTGCTTCATTCAAAGGTGTTGAAGTCTCTGGCTAGGTGTCCAAATAACTCAATATGCAGACAGTTTTGTTTACAGGTATGTCGTATTGACGCGCACATGGGTCGACTGCCCTGAAGGCCAGGGCTTAGGAGCTTGATGCATGCTTTCCCAAGTGCCCAAGTGTCCAATTAATCCCACGGTATCAACACTCTCTCCTTGAACAACCGGGCCCGGTGAACAGGTAAAACTGGTCTCTAGCAGCCAAAACTCAACCCAACAAAGTTCCCACTGACGAGCAAGCTGCTAGCTATAGTAGCTCGTCGGCGTCAGTACGAGCCACTGTTCACTACTCTAAAGCTCTCACTACCCACTCCTTTGCTGTGCGGGATACGACATGAAGCCTAAAAGGGCTCAAGGTTCATATACCACATTGGGATTCTCATAGTATAAGGGTATAAGGCCCCCACTTTTAAGGGACTTTTCGTCCCCAAGGAACAGGACGCTGGAAAGTAACGATGGCGGTTTACGGTGCATGAAGCTCCGAAGGTCTACCGAACATGCTGGGACAAAGCTGCCGCCGCCACCTCAGCCGTCAATCGCCCATCGTTGCTGAGCAGCTGCTGCATACGGAACGCCAACTTTTCCGCCTGGTCGGCTTGGGCCATGATCTCCGTGGCGGACACGGATCGCTTGATGTCGGCGAGGTTCAGAAGCTTCTCCGGGGCCACAAAAGCCCAGCTTGAGGATCATGTGCCTCCACCGCACTCTCTGATTTGTCATCCCTTTGATCTCCGCACTCAGGCGACCCTAAACCCTAAACCCTAAACCCTAAACCCTTAACCCTTTCCCTGGCAGCGGGAAGCGAAGCCATGGGCGCGAATGTGGGAGTTTCCGAAATAATGGGTACTTTATTTTGGGGTCCTTATAATAAGGATCCTACTATTTCGGGTGCTATATTAGGGTCCCCTATCTTCGGAAACCCCCATGTGCTTCTCCGTCTTGGAGAGGAAAAAGTCCGAGGCTGCTCCACCTCCGTAGCGGAGCACCAAGGTAAAGATGCCCGGTATATTTTGCCATAAATGATTATAGTAAGGAGGAACCCCCAAAAAAGGAAAAGGGAAAAACATTACATAAGGCCCCTACATGAGGTCCTATACAGACCCTCCGCAAGAATTTGAACAGAGGAGTCTCAGCAAAGCATTGCACCGAGAGGAAACCGGCGTGGCTTTGAGGAGGCACACAGGACACTGTCTAGGGAGCATCTTACTATGGTACCTTAATTAAGGAGTATACCTTAAATCATAATATGAAGGCCCCTATAGTTTAAGGCATATTCCTTAATTCTTCTCGGCCCCCGGCCGAAGCGGTCAGAGGTTCCTATTCGGACTTCCTATATTCCCCACCTCTTAATCCCCTCCCCAGTGACCCCCACCCCTCCGAAGGGGGGAGTCCTTCTGTGTGAGTCCCGGGTCCTGCGGTGAAATCTCGCCTCCCTACGGAGAGTCTCACCCACCCTTGCGCCCCCACCCGGCCAGCCCCCCCACCGGGCCTCCCGCCTCCCCACGGGCCCTCGCCCCCCTCCTCGTCCGCTCCGCCAACGGCGCCGAGCCTTTAAAATTAACTTGTATTGCGTTCTCTGGGTAGTACCCTTGTAGTAACCCCTTTTTAATATTCCTTCCAGGAACCCTCAAAGGAAACCATGAGATTCCGTGCAAGTCTTCACATCGTGGCAGAAGCAACCTGCCTGTGGCGGCAGTAGGCTGTGTACCTGAGCCACGGACTGACATTCGGGCTCCTTTTAACAGGCTCTACAATAAAGTTGGGCTTTGGGTTTAGGGTTTAGGGATTAGGGCTCTATAATAGAGGTTCTATAATGGTTACTACGAACTTGTGTGTGAAATTCTAAGCTACGGACCAGGTCTCGAGAAGATAGGGGCCTGGACAATCTGAATATGGTTTGAGGGTATGCTACCCTATGGGTCTTTGTGCCCAAGTAGAATACACTCTGGCCCCAAAGTACCCTTTTAGGGACTACTTTGAAGCCAAAGTACGTACTGTTTGGGTACATGGACCCTTAGGGCCCTACAATCATTCGGGTTGATATAGGGGGCCTGAGTAAGTAGACCAGGGTTTTGGGGTATGTTATCGTAGAATCCCCGAGGCTCCATATATACTACCATTCTGGAGTTAGCTCCCTAAGGCCATAATAAGCATGTTGTTTTCGGGGCTTAATTCCGTAATGGTAGTATATATGGAGCCTCAGGCAAGTCCTCAAAAAGGTAAGTTATTTGGGGTCCATGTCAACCCTCAACCCCAAACCCTAAACCCTCAACCCTAAACCAGGAAGGAGTCCTGCGGGATTTTACTAATTGCACAGCCCACCCCATGATATGGGTCGTATTCCAAAGTAGGGTCCTATTTTCAGGGGCCCCCAAAGTAAAATCGTACGGCGCCCTTTTCAAAAACACCCCCCCAAAGTGACTTTAATTTTAAAGAACTGCCCGTAGGAGCTCTCTGTGCAGGAACCGCACTGAAGCAACATGGTACATCCCAAACTCGGAGGCCCCGCCCCAAACCCCGCCCTAACCCTAAAAGTCCGAATGACCCAATAATAAGGTACTTGAGTTGCGGATAGTAGCTACCGAGGTGGATATTTGGGAGAGTGTATGATTCTTAGGTACTTGGACCCTTAGGGTAAGGGTCCCTAAACCCTAAACCCTAAACCCTAAACCCTAAACCCTAAACCCTAAACCCTAAACCCAAAACCCTAAACCTCCTGATACTTTTGGGGACTCTGAGACCCCGAAGAGACCCAACGTCTCTCCTTTAGAGTTTCCGGACCCTTCCAGGGGATACCAGGACCCGTTGGGCCAAGCCTTATAGGGTTTAGGGTTTAGGGTTTAGGGTTTAGGGTTTAGGGTTTAGGGTTTAGGCCTCCAATGGGGTTGATCCGATCCTTCGGGTTTAGGGCTTAGGTTCCAGGGGTTTAAGGGTTTTGGGGTTTAGGGTTTTAGGGTTTAGGGATTAGGGCATGATCAGGGTTTAGAAGCCATACAAAACGGTTTAGGGTCCAGGGGTTCAGGGTTTAGGGTCTAGGTGGGTTGGGCAATCCCGAAACCTTAAACTCTCAAACCCCCAAACCCTACCTAAACCCTACACCCTAAGAGGGTCACCATGGAAACTGCATCTTGAGTGTACTACGCCCAAGCCCAAACACCGAAAATTCACAGATCTAGGCCCTTCGAACTTATTCTCATGAATACCGGAGCCGAAAACCCTATGCCTCTACACATGGTGATCGGACCCGTGGTGGGAATTAGGAGTTCATCGTGGGTTTTGGGTTTATGGGGTCTATAGCCTAGAGGCTCCATACATACGACCATTATGGAATTAAGTCCCAAAACACCATACATAGTATGGCTTTAGGGACCCAAATCCATGATGGTCGTATATATGGAGCCTCTAAACCCAAAGCCCTAAACCCTAAACCCCTAAACCCTAAACACTAAACCCTAAACCCTAAACCGTATATATATATATATATATATGGAGCCTCGGGGGAGATATCAGATTAATGGTCTGGATGTCGAGTGGGGTCTAGGATTTGGGGTTTTGGCTCTTGGGCTTAAGGTTCGGACTTGTTTTAGGGTCTACCCTTAGCATCAAAAAAGCCCAAAAGCCTTTGGGCCCAAATTCCTTAAAAAATGAGTCCTTAGAGGGTAAGGTTTTAGGGCTCAGTTTAGGGGTGTACGGTTTAGGGTTTAGGGTTTAGGGAGTTAGGCCTCTGCGCCTTAAGGCCTTAAGGCTCCAAATGCCGACAAGCTTCTCGGCAGTCGCTTGCTCCACCTTCAGCTTTGCCAGTTTTAACCTCGCAGGTCATGCTGATGATGATGATGATGGTGATGATGGTGATATGTTATATTATATTATTTCAAATTAAATTCAATTAAAGCAAATTATATATTATATTATATTACATTATATTATATTACATTACATTATATTATATTATATTATATTATATTATATTATATTATGTTATATTTACAATACGTAGGTAGCTTTTAAAGCCCTTTTTATCATATAGTAAACCCCAACAAGTTGGAAACCGGATTAAGGACAGTTGGAGCTGGGATTCCCTGTGCATTACTCTTAAGGATGGAGGCCATTGGGCTTCCAGCTTTTGGGCTTCTACTGTAAGGTTTGGGGGGTTTGGGTGTAGGGTCTTGGGATTCGGGTTTGGGCTTTAGGATTTAAAGGCTTCTGTGGCCTGCGACTTAGGAATCGCAGTCAACTTTGGGACTGGGGGTCTAGGGTCTGGGGTTGAGGCATCCTTTCAGGAGCAGGAATAACACCCAACCCCTAAACTTCATACCCTAGAGCCCCCCCCCCAAATAGAACAGAGACCTCAACTTCGTAGGTCGCCTCAATGGACGACCCTAAAGCCTAGATCCTAAACCCCACCGCTGCGTCTCAGACTGAAAAAGACGCTGAAGAAAACATGCACCAAAACGCTAAGCTTTGAAATGGAATAGGACGTCGCCCTTCTCAGGTGACGACGAGCAGCGCATCTCCCTGACGGCCGTCCAAGAAGTCTCCAACTCGGAGGGTTTAGGGTTGAGGGTTTAGGGCTTGGGGTTCGGGGTGTAGGGTTGAGGGAACTGGAATTTCATTTGAGTCCAAGTCTGTGTCTGCCTTTATGAGCCCAGACCCGAGACCCTTGATCTTAAAAGCTGAACACAAAACCCTGAACCCTATGATAATGTAAACGCTAGAAGAATGGATGCTGCAAGCTTGGCTCCCGCGAGGGGATCCTGCCTTTCATGTCTTCTGGAGTCCTGTCTCTTTTGAAGCACCTAGATTCCGCAGATGCTTGTACTTACCATGACATCACTGCAACTTACTTACAATGACTTAGCCTTTAAGGGGTCCTTTGTGTTTTTTCTTGGGATTTTTGAATTTAAGAGGTCCTCTAAGGGGGGCCCCCCCTGGTTCAGTGAGGTCCTGGTGGAGATTCGAGAGGCCGGGGCCCAGAGAGAATTGATCCTTTCCCGGGCTTCGTAGTAAACGACTACTAAGTTGCTACTACCGATACTGATACTAGTGCTAGTGCTAATGCTGATACGAATATCAATACCGATACTACTACCAAAAATGGTATTAACACAAAAACGGAAAATACTAATTACTAATACCAATACTAATACAACTCTAATACTAAGACGGGTACTAAATACTGACACTAATACAACTACTAAATGTCAATACAAGACCGATGCTACTGACAAGGTTTGTGTCAGGGCTGCTTCTAGGGCCAGGGGTTTAGGGGTTTAGGGGTTTAGGGGTTTAGGGTATGTTTAGGGTCCCTGGTCTGCAGGCATGGCACGACCTGCGTTTGCCGATTCCGATGATTCGTTTGACTATGCTTCCTCTTGCCACAAAAGCTTCAGCGGAGTCATTGTCAGGGTTCGCAGTGTGAGCAAACCCATCTTGGGGTTTTCTGATTCATGGCACATTGTTGTGGACAAGGCTGCGAATAGATTTATTGACAAGAGTCCTCACCCAAGCCGCCATTACGCTTTAGGTGTATCTTGCATGCAAGCCTTAGTTCCTTGCCTGGATACCTAAAGGTATAAACCAGAAGTCCTAGACCAAACCCTTAACCCGAAACCCTAAACCCGAAACCAGACATCCTACACAGGCGCTTGCGCCCGCAGAGGAGACCCTTGGACCTTTGTTTGTGTTGAACAGGCAAGCAGGGGTTTGGGGTTCACGGTTTAGGGTTTAGGGTTCAGGGAGGGCTTAGGGGCAAACAACCCAAACCTAGTAACACCAACAAGAGCAACAAGAGAGTTTTATCCGGTACATCTGGGAACAGCATGCTGCTACTCAGCGGTAAGTTGCGAGCTTGAGATATTGCGACAGAGATTTCCGTGTAGTTGGTTTGGATTCGGTTACGACTCTTACGATTCTACGACATGAAGGACAATCGCCTCGGCTGCTGCAAAGATGAGCTGGTGCTACTGATGTTAAGGGTGTTCTCTTGAGTGCTTTGCAGCTTTCGGAATGTCCTCAGCGAAAGATTCCGTCCCAATGCAACCCGGTTTTCCATACTTCTGTAAACCTTCTACACTTCTATGCTTTGGCGTCCCCTGCCGATGCTACGACCACCGCGAAAGAGGCGACGATCATATTTTGCGGCAGCTCAATAGTCGTAGCAGGCATGTCTGCTGCAACAATAAAGGGGACAATATTGATCAGGAGAAGTGATCACGAGAAGGGTATAGTATGCATGCTTGAAGACCATCGTCAATAAGTGCAGTCATCTTGGTCATATGCACAAAACCGTCGTGCGATGCAACTCTGGGTTCCTGATCACGGTCAGCCGAGGCTGGTTGTGCAGGCTGCCGAGCGCTTGGACGGCCTGCGGCTGGCCTGCTGTTACTAGCACTATCACTCGCACTGGTGCGAGGTGCCAGCTTGCTCCGACATTTGGAGTCCGTAGGTGTTCATACATACAGCTCTTCTGCTACTGCTACTGCCACTTCCACTGCTGCTGCTTGCCGCTGCTGCTGCTGCTGCTTGCCGCTGCTGCTGCTACTGCTACTTGTACTGCTGCTGCTACTGCTAGTGCTTCTACTGCTCTGCTGCTATTGCCACTGCCGCCGCTGCTGCCGCTTCTACTGCTGCTACTGCTACTGCCACTTCCACTGCTACTGCCACTTCCACTGCTGCTTGCCGCTGCTGCTGCTGCTGCTACTTGTGCTGCTGCTGCTGCTGCTGCTGCTGCTGCTGCTGCTGCTGCTGCTGCTGCTGCTACTGCTACTGCTAATGCTTCTACTGCTCCTGCTGCCACCGCCGCCGCTACTGCTGCGGCTGCTGCCGCTTCTGCTGCTGCTGCTGCTGCTGCTACTGCTACTGCTACTGCTACAGCTGCTGCTCCTGCTGCTGCTACTGCTACTGCTGCTACTACTGCTGCCCCTCCTCCTCCTCCTTCTCCACCTCCTGCTCCTATTGCTACTCCTGCTCCAGCTCTTGCAAGTGCAGTTGCTTCTGCTACTGCTACTACTACTGCTACTACTACTACTACTACTACTACTACTCCTGCTACTACTACTACTACTACTACTACTACTACTACTACTACTGGTCCGACGTGGTTATCAGACAACCATCGATCGCGTTCCCGTGGATAGTGCAGACGATACTTGTGGCAAGCTCACTCAACCATTTGTCTGCATCACGCACGTCAGCGGAGGTGCTCATCAGAACTCACTGACCGCTGCCTACCACAAAACTTAGGCGGATCAACAGCAGCGCGTGGTGTTCCCTGGTCGATCGCCTTGCTATTGCCCCTGGGTGAGATGTACAGAGTGTTCACATTGGGATGACTTGAAGCAAGGTGTGTGTGTGTGTGTTGATTTTTTAGTAACAGGCATCGCGTAATTAGCACTTACCCCAACCGCAGACACGAAGACTTTGGGGCCTCGGTGCTTTAGCCAGATATTCGAAGCCACCCGCATGCGAGCCGGAGGGCTTCATTGTCTGACATACGGATTATTTTGAGGGTTGCGCCAAGGGTTACAGTAAAGCATTGCTTCAAGGGTTACTGCAAGCGGCGGGTTGCTATATGATTTTCGTTAAGGGCTGCTATAAGGGAACCAGCAGTAGTTCTCGGACGGAGGTATCACAGGCCACAGAAGAGCGGAGGGAGTAACTAGCAATACCCCTTCATGAAAATTAGCCAGGCGGACGGCAGGGTGCCCCGCTTGATTCTGTGGAAATCAAAAGATTGGCATACAATGAACTGAAGATGGCTGATTAGCTTTGAAGGGATGCCAGACTTGGCAGCAGACTAGTGATGTGCTTAGAACTCGTCTTGCAGCTGACATGCAGAAGGGTATGGGCAAGCTGGCATCAAGTTCTTCTACCACTGTCCTCCTTGCACTAAGAGGTAGCTTTCGAAAAAGATGCGCTCAAACACCGCGTGCATAGGAACGTGGGTCTTCTTTTGATGTTGCACTTCTGTTTCGCCCGATGGAACTGCCGATATCAACTGCCAAGCACTGATCTCTTGCAAGCTGGTTCTGCCAACTGGATCGTAGCTCCTCCTGTTTTCTCTGAATGAACCCGAGATGCGTCTTTGGCTCTCGTTCCTGGGCCGCATCGCCTGGGTCTCAGGCAGCACGTCAGGGCGATTGCAGCAAGAGGCAACTAGCGCAAGTGTTTTGCAGTAAGGCTTGAGAACCAGAGTTATCTCGAGCATCCTAACGTAGTACAGTATGTTATATTGTAGTATAGTATAGTATGGTATAGTATAGTATAGTACCTGGGAAGGCAGAATGGAGGATACTTGGGACAGCGGCTGTCTTGAACAGTGCCGAAGCACTGGAGTCACTTCGCGAGCAAAGCAAGGAGGCAAAGCTTAATTGTTCAAGAACTGCTCTATTCACTGCATGGAGTTTATGCAGACTTAGGCTGCCCGCCAGGAGATTTTTCAGAAGTTATGCGCAGGCATGCGAGGATACGTACATATACATATAAATATAAATATATATATGTATGTATGTAGTCTTGCACGTAGGCATCTCTCTGAATGTACGTATCTACATCTGCATGCACACAGACCAGGCGTTGGTTTCTGTCTGTGCGTAAGCATACCTGCCTGTCTGCTGCAGTGGACGGTCTGATCGTATGTTGATAGCAGTTCTCATAATAATAGACGCAACCACAATCATCTAATGAAAACATTTGCCCCAGTAGTAGTAGTAGTAGTAGTAGTAGTAGTAGTAGTAGCAGTAGTAGTAGTAGGAGTAGCAGTAGCAGTAGTAGCA